TCTTCCATATTTCATACAGAAATTATGTTAAAGTTAAGCAGTTAAGTTCTATTGTTATTACAGAAAGGGGGAAACTGTGCAAACTTACTGCAGGGCTCTGCTAAGGCACATGTGGTCGTATATTTTCCTTCCAGTGTTAACCTGGTGTTTTAACTTCTCATAAACACTGTGAGTGTACCTTCTGACGCTGTCTTGAGCTCTGTGTTTAACCAGAAGAACAGAAGTAGAAGCTACAGGTAAATTACAGCTGATCTGGTGATTGGTTAAGGTGTATTTTTCCTGCTGTATCTGGATACATGACTTACTGCAGGGGGCCTGACAGGGAGTTGTGCTGTCAGCTCCACTTGAACTAACCTCATTACTCCTGGATTCTTCCCCGAGGCAATTTCTACCCCATTTTGTAGAACTAGAGCAACATGAAGAGACTGAACTTATGCAGACTTGAGTCTATGACACGAACTACTAATTTACCTCTCTTTTTTTTTTTTTTTGTCTGAGTAGCTGAATTTCCTTGTACAAGGAACTCTCTAAATTGTCCAATTAGCTTGTCAGGAGGAGCGTTTTATTATTAAGGACTGAGAAGGTATATTCTAGGTGTGGGTTTTGTGGTTTTACATCTATTATGATTAAATAATATTTTTTGGTAACAATCTCACATTACCTAATTCTTAGAATGATGTTAAATGTGGGAGATTATCAGCAAATAAGATGAGTGTCAAAACTAGAAATCATCATAAAATTGTTTTGCTACCTTTACAGAGGCAGTCTGTAATGATAACATTTTTAAAAACTGGAATACATATTTTGTGCACTGAAAGCTGTTACAGAAGTCCTTCGTGATGAACACAGCATTTCTTACTGTGCTACTTACCCACCCAGAAAAGTTAACATTGTTTTCAAATGCAACTGAAGCGAGGCCCAAAGAACTGAGTCAATTATTTCATAAATGCTCGCTGGTTTCAGATGGATTGTAAATTGATAAACCTTTTTATTACTCCACATGCAAAGCATCAGCACAAGAAAAAGTTCATCTAAAATACATGCAAGTCTCCAGCAGAGAAAGATTAGCAATAAAAAGCTTGTGGAGAGCAGCCTATGATATTACTGCTCACAGATAAGGACTTTCTTTGATATAGCTTATTTCCAATAAAAACACTGGAATGCAACTGGATTTGGGCATAAAGTGAGATAACATTTCAAAAATTTACTGCTAAAATAATTGCATCTGGAAGCAAATATTTGATAAGCACTTCTTACATACATCACAGCTGTAGCTTAGCACTTGAAATGGAACTCGTTTAATAAGTGCCATCTTCACAAATCACAATGCTGAGGTATTGATTTGGATACTAAAAATGAGCAGACCCAGAATTAATGACCACTTTGCAAAATGTACTTGTACTCAAATACTGTGGGGCAACTCTGGCTGTATGTGGTGAATTTCCATTTCCACCTCACTCCTAGTTTAGGAACCGGGACTGATTCATCAATCTTGGAAGTACTTTGCAGTTTCCTGCCTTATCAGCAGGAAGATACAAGGCAGTATATGCTGTTATATATAACAACAGCCTCTTGCTATTTAATTTTTCCAGTAATAATGACACATTTTACCACAGTAATGATATTATATTTTAAGTTTATTGAAAATTGCAATTTTTAGCCATCACTTGAGAGAACACTTACTGTAAGAAACAGTTTTTAGGACTCAGGACTTAAAAATTAGCTCTCATTTGCTCTACTCATTTCAGTTTCTCTGTGGTCAAGTGTATTCTGCTGCCTGGTTCTGTAGTGATGATCAGCTGCCAGGGAGATTACGAGAGACATTTGTGGCTCAGAAAATTACCAGTAAGTCCATCTGTAGCAGGATGTTTGGCTGGGGGAGGGAGAACAATTTCTGTGAGGTGGTGGCTGTCCATCAAATTAATTTCTGGGTCCTGGGGACAAATGCCAGGCAATGTATCCCAGTGATGGTCCTGCTCCCCCTGAGCACAGGACACAGGGGCTGGACTTCACTGCTCTGTGAGGTGCAGACCTGACATCTCCTGCAGCTTCTGGTGACAAGTCACTTGGGAACACGTGGCCTTGACATCTGTGGTGGCCAGGGTTGGGCAGCCAAATTGCAAAGGCCCCTGCTGGAGTGCAGGGGCTCCTTTCTTCAGCACCTTCCCCATGGAAGCTGCTCTCCAAACTTGTTTGAATTGTCTCTCACTACTCATTTATAAAAGCTGTGGGTGTCTCAGAGACCATCATCTGATCTTATTCCTGTCTGCTGTGTGCCCAGGTGTCACCTCAGTGTCCAGTTGGAATGGTGACCCTCTGAGTCTCAACAAGAACCACGTGTCCCTGCAGGGAGCCCCTGGGAGTAACCAGAACTGCTCATCACCGTGGCACCCCGTGGACAATCCATCCAGGTTCTCCTGCTGGGCTCCACAGCATCCCTTTGGGCTGCTCCAGACACCACCCCAGCCTGCCAGAGCCTCCAGAAAGCTGCTTCCCGGGTAGGCACTCAGTGCTCTGGCTCTAAAAGTTCCCTTAACAGTGAATGTGTGGGAATGCTGCCTGTCCACGCTACATTTAAATAACTGGGTGCATGCAGTTTGGGTGTTAGTAAAAAATATTGGTACTTCAGGCAATTTTTCAAATTTATTAGGAGAAGTAATGGCTCCATTTATAATGGCAGTGCAACACAGTATGTGACTGTGTTGGAGGGACTAAACCTTCATCCTGATAAATTATACAATTATGCTTTGAAATGCATTTACTTGTTTTGAAACATTATTTCTCTGTGGTTTTCAAAAAAAATATTTTCTGCTTCTGAAAACAAACAAGTTACTGGTAACAGGGTTCATTTTTTTATAAAATTGTTTTGTTTCTATTCAAACAGAATGTATTTGGGAGACAAATTTTCTTAATTTGCTAACTAATGATGTAATTCTTTTTTTTTTTTTTTTTTTTTTAGAGATAATTCTAACACCTTAATAACCCTGTAGGATACTTATTAAAATATAAGAGATTAAATTGTAATGAGCTACACTACAGCCCACTTCTTGAAAGAGCTCCCAGGAAGGGATTGCTATAGGGAAAAAGAATAAATTCATTTTCCAACCTATAACAAAAGGCAGCATAGAGGGCATAGCACAGAGCTGTAACATCTACATGAATAACCATAAATTAAGTGGTGTTTTAGCCAGCCAGTTATCCCTCAGACTGCTATGCATGAGCAGGCAGAAAGTCTTCATTTTCCGTGGAATGGGTGATTTGGAGACTTTGCTTTAACTGTACTACTTCTTGTACGTGGATTTGGATTCACTGTCTTAAAGGACATTTTGTATCCACAATAAATAATTCACTCTCAGTCAAAATAAGAAGAGTTTTGGAGGGAGTTCAATATGAGCAGAATAGAGCTCCTAATACAATTATTGGCCACCTTGAGAGGGGGAATAAAAACAAACCTGGTTCCTACAGGTCAGGAATTACTTGTGGATTATGGATGACTAATAAAAAGATTTACACAAAGATTTATTCTTTCTGATTTGGGCACATTAAGAAAAGCTATTAACATACTAGCAACTAAAAACAATGTAATGAGGTAAAGCATTAAAGCTAATGGTGATGAGCACTATAAAAAAATGAAAGTCAGAATTAAAACATCTTGTAAGAATTGTGATGTAAAACTCCTGCTTTCTTTGTGCATCATATACTATGTCACTGCTACAGTAACACACCATTTACAAAGCAATTAATTCCAATTGATGGAGAGGATATTTTAATTACCAGGCTAAAGGCTGAGTATTATTATATATAAAACCACAAAATTATTTTTAATTTTATCTCCTATAGAACCTGAACTTTCAAATTTTGAACTAATTTTTGCCAAGTGATACAACATAATTAAACTGAAAACAATACACACAGTGTTACGATACCCAGGTGATCAAAGGTAAAGCAGTTCTTTCTATACTAGTACTGTTCTCACACCAAACAATTTAGAACAACTTAGTTGAGAGGAAAGTAGTGAGGTGGATACAGCATGTATTGCATTAAGATGAAGGAAAAAGATGAGGAAAATGTAGATATATTTGTGCAGTGCTGGAAGCATTACAAGAAAAGGAGCAGGAGCATGTGTTGTATTTACAGGGGATAAAAATACAGAGTGCTACTAATGGAAAGAAGAGCAATAAACAACATGAAATGTTAGGTGAGGCAAATAAAATGCAGGAGAAGACAAAAGAGTGAAGTAAAATCACCCGGAAAATCACCTGGAAAATAACCATGCCATTGCTTCAGCAAAGTTAAGAGACACCCTCCACCTCAGACTTTTTTTGGGGTTGGACTCCAAACAAGTATAAAAATAACAGTTCTTTGCCTAAAAGCCATGGAATCCCAACATGAGATCCAAGGCAACAGGCAGGGGGAATGTAGTGCAGGGAAGGTACAGCGTGTGGGGATCCCCTTGTTCAGCTTTAGGAACTGTGGTACATCGGTGCATTGAACTGAAATTCCTTGGACTGTTTCTTTAAACCTTAATTCTAGATGAAAGTTTAAGAAGGGTGGTGATAAACTTCAGCAAATCCAGCAGAGGCTGGGGCAGGTTCCCTGGCGAGGCTGTGGATCAGCTATCCCTGGAGGTGTTCAGCACCTGCTTCGGACTAGAGATCTCCTGTGGGCCCTGGAGCCACGGTGGGTCCGGGATTCCTTCATAAAGCCAAACCAAATTAAATAACTGAACAAAGGAGAGAAACGGAAAAGCAGGCTTGGAAAATTAATTCAGTTATTTCTTGTTATGTGTAAACTAAACATATGTTTTGTAGTGGTATAATTCCACTGATTTTGGTGATGCATGATACCTGTTCAAACAAAAATAGTAAGATGTATAATGTATACATTCAAAATAGCCTCGCTTGTCATCAGTAACTGTTTTGTACCAGCTTTCACTGTATGTGATTCTAAAAATTCGACTTGTCTTTCCAATTCTTTATTATTAACCATTTATCTACTCTCCCTAATCAGTCTTTCAACTCTCAAGCATATCCCTTGGCTTTTTTTTTTTTCCTGTCTGGCTACAAAGTTGTTGTGAAGACAAAACAGAATAACGACAGTGGATGTCCCCTCTGGTGAGATCTAGATTTCCTCAGTGCAGAATGTCTGACCTTCTTTCATTCTTGACACTTGAGAGCTTGCTTTATTAATGTCATTCCAGCCTAATTTTATACAGTCAGCATGTTAGATGTCTTGTAAAAGTACTCCCATCTTTTATTGTTTTTAGCAACCAATTAATTCCCAGCCTGACTAGTCCCAGTTGCTCAGCACTGTACTGGGGATTTGGCACAGCATGTTGGAATAAATCTCTCGCCTTCTGCCCCTTGCAGTCTCAAAATACAAATCCAAGCATAGATGTAGATGTGTGCAGGGATGAGGGAAGAACCAAAACAAGAAAATGCATGTTTGCCTCTTTTTATGGTCAGCCCGCTTGAACCTTTCCAATGCCAGGTTTTTGTTTCCCTGGAAATAAAAGAAGCAATCGTTTAAGGAATTTTATAATTAAGAAATATTTTTACTACTACTGCATTTTTGCTGCTACACTGTGCTTTGCTCTGCTTGATGTGATCACATTTAATTATCTTCTGTCCTTGCAAAGCCACTTGATGATGTGACTCTGCTGCTGCTGAGAAGGTTGAGCAGAGCCCACTGAGGTCAAGTTCTCAGCAGTCACCAAGTATGTCACTGTTACTTTCATGTACTTCAAGCTTGAGCACATGGTTAAGTCCTGCTTTTTTCTTTTTTTTTAACTCTGCTCCTCTGTATTGAGGTCACTTTGACTGTTTCATTCTGTTTGTGCTCTCAATCTCTAATTTTTGCTGAGGACACTGTAAGCTGAGCAGGAATTCCACATTTTCAGGTGGCATACTGAGAAGTAATTTCCTACCTAAAAGTTTTCCTCTCTATCAAGTGCTTTGTGGAATACATCTTAGTTCATTCTCATACAGAATGACTGAGACTAAAAGGAATGGCTTCTGTTTCCAGCAGACACTGGCAGAGGCCTGAAAGGGTTTGTGTGAGCCCCACAGTCACACCTATAAACACCTGAGGTGTGGCAAACTCCCGGGCACCTGGGACCAGGGAGCCAGTGTGGCATTCCACTCCCTTCTCCATTGAGTCATCTCCAAGGTGGGACACTTCTCTTTTCTCCCTCTTTTCCTCTCTGAGCCAGGAATAGTTCCAGGAGCAGAAGACAGTTTCAGTCTGGATCAACTGCTGGTTTTTTTAGCTTCTATTTTTATCTCTTCCATATGATGCTGATCCCAGAGAAGAGCCTAAGTTGAACATTCCTACCTTTTTTTCTGTGTCTTCTGCTGCACATAAAAATTCAGGTCTGTGGGTTCTTCTGGAAACTCTGAAAAGCTCTTTCTCCTTTGCCTTTGCAAACATGGATTTTGACCACAGTAACCACTGCAGTAATTAAAACAAGCATCAGTCTCACACCAGGTACATAATAACATCCAATACTTCTGAACTGTAATTAAGTTTTGGGAAAATGCTCCACTCATCTACATCACCAGACTGAACTGTATTAGGCTACCACTATGCTGGAACAGTGTTTTCCAAAACAGTTGACTTAAAATAGGTCTGACTTCAAAGGATCTACAGATTTCTCTTCTAAAAGTTTGCAATTATCTAACAAATCAAAATAAGACAAGTCTATATCAAAATATTAGAAAATAAGTCTCAATTATCATGAGTCAATAATATGTATACATCAGATAATTTGAATAATTGTATCAAATTATTTGTTTTCTGTGTTTAATATATTATTTATTTACTATAAAAAATGACTGTATCTAGATACAAGTATAACCTCAGTGGTTAAACTGAAACACTGTGCATCTGATAACTCATGAAACAGTAGAATCATAGAATCACATTAACAAACATAGCAGCAGTACAGAAACATTAATTCTTCCCTTTGTTTGAATAGTTTATCACATTACTCGACGGACCAGAAGGTATTTCCCTGACAAAATGGATTAAAATCATAAAGCTGTAAGTAACAGGAGTATATTGCCTTTCATCCTCCTCTCCACTCACCCAGTTGGACAAACGGGGCTTGCAGTGACTTGTTTCCTCTTTGGTGCGTTTGCCCGAGGCAACAAACCCAAGAAATTGCAGGTAACAGTTTATCAAATGCTTGTAGTCAGTTGACTCCCTCTCCCCCTGTCACTCGGCATCATTTTATTAGCAGAGCCTTGACCCAGGTGTGCCAGGAGCTTGGAAGTTCAGAAGGTGGGATGCAGCTGTCACATGAAAGATGGATGATGTGCATTTTGTGTTTTCAATGTGCATTAGAGTATCCGAGAGCGAGCCTGCTAATAAAAGGTGACATCTCACCAACGATACCGTGGAAGCCTTGGGAGGAGAACTGGGAGCAGTTTCAGCATTGGAAAGGAATGGACAGGAGGAGAGACTCCATGGTTCCTTACAGGGGCTGTAGGTTTGCTTTTGAATTTCCTGCAGTGGAAACGTGCACGGCACAGGGCTTATCAAAATCAACAGGACTGTCCATAGCACACAGTTTGTTCCACGGGCAAGCTTTGAGGGAATAATGGCAGCTTAAATACATTTTTATAAATGTAAATAATTTTTAAACACATTTTAAATTATTATGTTACTCTGTTATTGGTGTAATAAGTCAATTTTGTTTAATGGCTACAGAAATTATACATTTAAAAACATACCATCACATGCACGAGGAAGGAAGTTTCTCTTAACATGTAAAACTGTCCATAATGTTTTTGTTATTTTTTTTTTGTGAGGTAGAAATTGAGAAAATAATCTAAATATAGATTTGCATTTAAAATTAAAATGCAATTAAAGTTTGCATTTAAAATATCAATAAGATTTATATTTATAATATGAAAATTCAAAATATTTAAACGCTTTGAAGACATCTTAATTTCATCTTTACCTTTTCCACTGTATTCAAGGAATAATTGAATAATCAGTGTAAATAACAACTAAAGGACTGTTTTACATTATAAATAATGAGAAGAGCTGCCTGCTGTCATTTTCATATAAATGTTATTCTTGTTAAATATCAAGGCTTTCCTCACAAAATTGCTCCATTTTGCTGTTTGTCATCCACAAATGCTGGCCCTGACCCTGCACCGTGTTGTGGTTGTGAAGGTGGCACCAGTTGGCCACTTCTGAGTGCCTTTTCCTCTTTGGCACAGAATCAAGACCTGGAACCACTGACTTCCATTCCCATCCTCTCCATTTCTCCAGCAACTGACATTTTGATCCTTTCCTGTGTCTCAGACTGGCTCTCTCCTCCCTCTCTCCTGGTGTCCATGTATCCCACACCACAGCTGACCCCCATGGAGCCGCTGCTCACCCTGTGGCCACCACGTGCCTCCTCCAGGGCCTTGGATCCGCTCAGCTTTGCTCTGCTGTGGGCAGGATCTGCAGTGCCACTGCCTTTAGTTTGGTCAGGATGCTTGATAGCTGTGCAAATGCTCCACGTAGCTGCCTTAATGCTGGTTTGGTTGGATGATCCAGCAGTTTGGATCAAGCCTCCAGCTCTCCTTTGGTACATTTATTCACTTCTATAGCGTAGTATTTGCTCTCATATTAATTTACATTTCCTATTATATCTCTAATGGGAACTCTTGAACCAGTAATTACTTTATCCATATGTTAAATGTTCATTTTACAACTATTAGTATTCTGCCAGGGTATGTATCTCTTAAATGCTAATTTTGGACATTTCCCAGTTCTCCTGTCTTCCTCTGTACAATGTCTCCAGTGTGCTCAGTAGTCCTTGGATGGGCTAAATAAACCCAGCTCATTAGACAAACACAAACTTCCTGCTGGTCCCATTTTCATGCTCATTGTTTCAACATGAGCATTTTTAAGCCCTTCTGAGCATTGCTTTAGCCTGCCATGTGTACAGCTTTCTCAGAAAATAATCTCCTAGTTTTTGCAGCCTGATTGCTCTTCATCCCAGTACTGAAATGCTGCTTTTAAGGTAAATCTTCCCACCACACGTGATGCTGCTGATCATTTTTTTCTGGCTTCAGGCCTCCAGAATCAACAAGTGTAAGAAGTGAAGGACTGGTCATCCTCATATCAGTCAGTACCATGATTTCTTACTGCTTTGGTGGGATCAATTGTATCCCCAGCATCTGAGATAAAAAATATAAAATGCATCAATCATTTTCTTGCTGGAAGTTGTAACATTTGAACATTTCTGTTTTTTATGTTGAATAAAGTTTTATTCCTGCCTTTTATGTTGTCTTCCATTCTGATGCTGGTGTAAACATCAGGCTTCATAATTTTTTTCCCCTTTATATATGTACCTACTTTCTTTAGATACTTTCCAAAATTATGGCTCTTGTAGCTGCTTTTACAAATGAACCTGCAGAATGTGTGCAGATGGCCTCCACAGGAACAGTTAAGTTCTCTCTCTCTCCCCTTCTAGTCCAATAAACATTGATTTATAGAATGTGGAACAGATCCCACAGGACACTAGAATATTCAGTAGCTTGGTAAATATGCAATGATCTAGGATATGCATTCAAATATTTGTTCCACGCCGTGGAAGCAAGCATGATTTAAACTATGTTGTTTGTTTTTTTTTTAACCTGTTGGCTCTTCTCTCGTTTTTATTATCAAGATGAGAAAATTGTGCTTGGGCTACCAAAGGACATCACTTGGGCAAAGTGAAGAAATCAGGTAAAGATGGAAGATAACAACATACCCTTGGGGATGATCTAATACTAATGTTTAAATATGCTTTGTAAAGAGGACTCTTAGTCTTATTTGTTAAAAGATAAACTGAGTGGTTCCTTGCATCAATGAGTGGGATAAGACTAATGATTTTAATGTAAGGAATTGTACCAAGATTAATGGTAATAGCAGAGATACTAATGTCTTTGTTTAGCAGAAAGTATGAGAAGTCAAAATGTTGCTACGCTGTGCCTCACCTTTCTTTGATACAGGTGAAGCACAAGAGAGTATCACTAGAGAAAAGTTAGTTCTTGAGCAGGTGCTGCACATCAGACACTCTCTGTATGATTTAGCTGAAATTCCATTTTCCATGTGAGCAGAGGTGCACTCCCTGTGATTGACTTCAACCAGATATCTCTCTCCCATCGTGAGCTGTTCTGTCTCAGTGAAGGTCTGCTGGATCATGAGCCCCATGAGGCACCGAGGGCTGTGAGGTGTCCTTTGTCACCCCAGCCCCTCATCACTTGTACATCACTACAAATTAAGTACCTGCTGTGCTCCAGGGCCGAATCCATTCACCTGCACAAGGAAGGGCCTTTCTCTCCACAGGGACGCAACTGAAGCCAAGAGGATCACTGCAGCTGCAGGGAAACTTTTATATTTATTTATTTAGTCCATGGAAGTTTGTGTGAAGGAATAAATGACTCGGTCAAGAGAAGGGCAAGTGGCACAGGGGCTGAGGTACCGTCCCTGACCTTTGCTCCCAGGTGGACCTTGGCCTTTGCTGCAGCAGGGGTTGGTGGGAGGGGTAGAGATCCCAGAGATCCCAGCGACTCACAGAATCAATGAGGTTGGAAGACCTCCGAAATCATCAAGTCCAACCTATGACCGAACACCACCTTGGCAATTAGACCGTGGTTCTGAATGCCAAGTAGTCTTTCCTTAAGCACTTTCAGGAACTGTGAGTCCACCACCTCCCTGGGCAGCCCATTCCAATGTCTAATCGCCCTTTCTGTGAAGAAATTTTTCCCGATGTCCAACCTCAACCTTCCGTGGCACAGCTCGAGACTGTGCCCTCTCGTTCTGTCGCTGGTTGCCTGGGACGAGATCGACCCCCACCTGGCTACATCCTCCAGTCAGGGAGTCGTAGAGAGCAATAGGGTCACCCCTGAGGGGGATTAAACACCCCAGCTCCCTCAGCCGTTCCTCATCGGACTGTTCTCCGGCCCCTTCACCGGCTCCGCTGCCCTTCTCAGGACAGGCAGTTGTGTCCGTGGACACACCCGCGGAGCCGCCCGCTCCCGGTAACCTCAACCCGGTGGCTCCAGCACCTGCGTTTGAACCGGCCGGGGCTGCTGTTCCCCGCGTCCCGCAGGCTCCGGGGCCGCAGGGGGATCCCCGGCACTGCGCCGGCGGGCGGGCAGGTCGGGCCGTGCGGGGAAGGTGCCGCCGGGTCCCGGGTCCCTGCAGGTGCCGCCGCCGTCGCTCGGCAACAGCCCCGCGCTGCCGGGCACGGCCGGAGCCGCCGCAACCCGGAAGCAGAGGGGCGGACGGGGCGGGCGGGGGGCGGCGGCGGGGCGGGACGGGGCTGCCCGCCCGCTCCCTCCACCCCGCGGGGACAGCGAGCCCCGCGCGGAGCTGTCGCACCAAGCACCCACCGCGCTGTGTCCCCCCTGCCCACCACCACCACAACACCCCCCTTCTCCCTCGTCCAAATCCTCCGGACCCGGCGCCGCCGCGCTCAGGCTCCTCCTGGCCGGTGCGGGAGGAGGAGGCGGCGGCGGCTGCTGAGCGGCGTGTGCCGGAGCCAACGGGCGGCGGGGAGCGGGGCGGGCGCTGCGGGGGTGTCGGGGTAGAGCGAGGCGTGACCCGGCTGACGGGCACCGTGCGGCGGGCGCGGAGCCGGAGTCGGACCCGGCGGGAGCGGCGGCAGCGGCGGCGGCGCGGGGCGTCGGTATCGCTCGGCTCTGGCTCTGGCGCGGCGTCTCCTCCACCCCCTCGTGAGCCTGGGGAACCTGCAGCTCAAAGCCGCCGCCAGCCACACCACCATGTACCCCGGCAACAAGCGGAAAAAGCTCTGGCGGGAGGAGAAAGGTATTATCGCCCTTCCCGGTGCCGGGCCCGCTTCTCCCGCCTTTAACCCCACGCTGAGCCGGCAAGGAGGGGCGGTCCCGGCGCCCTCGGAGCCGCCGCCTCGCCGCGGGGTGTCCGGCAGCGCTTCCCGCGGCTGAGGGCACGGGGTGGGGAAGCTTGGGGGGGTGGTCAGTGCTCTCCGCCCTTGTCCTGGGGTCTCCTGGCTGAAACACCCCAAAATTGCACGCCCCGCCGGCCTCACGGCAGCCCGGGTGTGCGGGAATTGGGGGTGTTCCCCCCCCAGCTCCGTGGGACCCGTGAGGAGCGGAGCCCCGGGGCTGAGGGGAGCGAGGGCGGGCGGGCGGTAAACAGCCCCTCTCCTGAGGGCTTCCCGCCCCCGAGTCACCTTGTGGGAGCGTTCCAGGCCGGAAAGTTGGGCACATGCCCTCAAAACGTGCTTTTCCTCCTTTTAACGCGTTCCTTTTCCGAGGCAAAATGTGGTTTATTTGAATTGCTGGTGTACTGTGCTTCAGTTCAGCTTCTAGTGTCCGTCTGCCGGGGTGAAGTGTTCGGGGTATGAGGCTGTCAAAGCACACACCCCCTCCCCGATTCCAACTATTTACTCCTTTTATCTTTTTTTAAGGACCCCCACCCGTGTATTCTCTCTTTAAAAATCCCCAAAGTCAAACTCCAGAGCGTGAAAACTGTGTGGGCCAAGCGTTTGATGCAGACCTTGCTGTTTTGGTACTTTATATTAATCCTGTGGAGAGCAATGTAGAAATTAAGAAAAAAAAAAATCACCCAGTGGAAGTGTGATATTTATATCTGCTAGGAGGAAAGCTTCTTGCCTGGTGTGTTTACAAATAGTGTAGTAATACAGAGGAGACGATGAAAATAATACCAGAAGTTCATATTTTACGTTCTCTTTCTTTTTTTCCGTCACCCCTGTGATTCTGTGTGTGTTTCAAGCTAAGAAGGCAGAAGACCAGTGCAATGGATAGGATTCATGCTTCCTGTCTGTGGTGGAAATCAAGTGTACATTCGTAAGGAAAAATTGTTAAAACACAAATGAACTGATCTCTCTGCAGGTTAACTGCTCCTGTCAAACTCTTCTCAGATGAAGTGACTTTTGTTCCACGCTTTTTTCTTTCAAAACTGTCTTGCAGTCCATGTTTCTGTAGTAAAAAGTAAGGCAACAAATTTCTACCAGACAAAAGTTTCAGTTTTCAACGAAGATACAGGTAAATCTTCTGAGGCATTGTTTCTGTGGGGTCAGCTATAACTGACTTTCCTTTAATGCTGCATGGTGTTACCTTCAGAAAACGCTGGTTTTGTGCCGGGGACAGATGGGGAGAGGTTTCTGACAGGCTCTGGTGAGTGTTCCCATTACTCCCACTTGTCTCTTCCAGCTCTGCTGCTGTCTGTGTGAGTTCATAGCCTGGCAAGTAAACCTGGACTCTTGGTGAGGAGGGCTGAGTGGAGAGGCTGGAGGGTAAGCTGGAAACCAGAGCTGCTGACACGCTTTCCTTGTCTCAGTCAGCTGTGAGGATGGTGGTCATCAGGTGATGTTTAGGGATGCAAACCAGAGCTCCCCACTGCTGGTGAGGTTTTTCCCTCCAGGAAGCACATCTGAGTGCTGGCTGGCCAGAACTCACTGTGTCTTTGCCTAGTGTGAATGAACAGTGTTTGCCAGCCTTCTGCTCCAGTAATTGCTTTCCAGCACGATGCTGATGGTGCTGGGCCTGGGTATTTGAATGATGAGGGCAGAAAAAAGTTCTCTGTTCACTGCTGGCATTGCTCTTCAGCTTGTAGCCCTGTGGGACTTGCCAAGTACCTTCTTTACTAGAGAGGAAAATTAGAGAAGCCCAACTTCTTTCCTTCCTACTCAGACTGTACTTTGGAAATCAAATCTTTGGTTAGGACTGCCTTCACCTCTCACAGGTACTCCTGAACCCCTGCAAAGCTGTCTGTGCTTGCTGGTTCTGCTCTTCCCATGAAGCTCTGAGTGCAGTTGCTTTCAGCCTTTTATATTCTGAAGCACCTCTTGAAAAGAAAAAAGCACCAATTGCTAAATATTGAGTTCAAACCCACTGACAATACACTGGCTTGTCTTAATTACTTTCTTGGTAATTAAGGGTTGGTCCACATCCTCCCAGGGGAGGTCTTGCTTGAGGACAGCTGGAACGGAGCAGGAGCAGGACTGGAGTTGATTTCAGAGCCTTAGACACAGGACTGGGCTGCCTGCAAACTTCCCAAGTTTCTGCTGCAGGCAGAAAACTGCACTTGCAGCGAAGGCTGTCGGGAGCATCTTCCGGGAGGTTTGTGTATAATTAAGTCTCAGTTTAAGTTCTCGCTGCTGACTCACGGGAGCACAGTTCTATAAAACCTTTCTGTAGAGAGCAACTTGTGTTTTGAAGGCACGGGACTGGCTCTATCACCTCTTCAGCAAAAGGCACCCAGAAGTGCTCTGCTTGTCAGTCCCTCAAACCTGACACGCAGAGGCACTCACTCTCTTGGGTCTGCCTTCCTGTAGCACTTCCCGTGTTCACGTCAAATACTTGGAGTTTTTTATGCTTGAAGCTCAGGTAACGGATTTAAGTGCATATCTGTTGTGCAAGATGGTGACCCTGGTCACATCAGTTCTACTTTGGCAGATGTAAATATCCAATTAAGGCATACCCAGCCTGCATAACAGAGAGAAATGTTTTTGTCAACTGAATAAATTGGTAGGGCTGTCAAAAACAGCAAAGTGAACTTATTTTGTTAAAGGAGCCTGTGCTCCAAAGTTGCCTTTGGTTATTAGACTGTGCTGATTGCAGCCTCCATAATTAGGAAACTTTATTTAAAAAAAGAAAACCACCACAACCAAAACCTCCACAGTGCAAGTGATTTTCTTTCTTATTTTTTTACTGTTTCATCTGAGAAGCAGTTTCCATGTCCAACTCTTTCGCCGCCTCTTCTACTTGAGAAGAAAATGTTGTTTTCAAGTCCATCTAGCCCTTTATGACAAAGGCAAACAACATGGGTTTAGCCTTCCCCTCCACTCCTAAAAACTCCCGAGTCTTCAAAGAGGATTTATTAGTGATTAAAGTGCCAAAAAAACTGTTAGTGTGGTTGTAGTAGTAATAGTGCCACTTGTAAAAACAGATCAGAACCTTCAGTAGCAAAT